TGGATCGGCATCTATATTTCGATCCGCTGGCGATGATGGAGTGCTGGCGTACCGACTTCGCACCCGAGCACTACCACCAGGTCGGACTGGCTGTCGTCGCCTGGGGTCCGGAGCAGAAATACGTGTCAGATTCCCTGGCAAACGTGCGCGCGATTGGCACAGACAAGGTCGAAGTCTTGACCTCAGCTGCACATATTCGACGAGCATGCGGTCTAGAAGGGACCGACGAATGGGGCAGTGGCAAAACAGGATATGTGAACTGGAGTTCAGGTTGGGCTGACGCGCAAGGTGCCATGTTGTGGCTGCGGAAGAAGGTCGAGGCGTTGAACAGAGTCAATTTTGTGACTTCGGGAGTGAAGAAGTTGATTATCGACCACAAAGCCAACGCTGTATTGGGTGTGCGATTACAAGATGGCAGAGAGCTAAAAGCCGACCTCACCATCCTCGCCGCAGGCGCCTGGACAGCCTCGCTCATCGATCTACGCGGCCTATGCATGGCCACTGGACAAGCCGTATGCTACATGCCCATCTCCTCCTACGAAGAAGCCGCTCTCGGCAATCAACCCACCATCCTCAACCTCTCCCATGGCTTATTCATGATCCCACCAGCTAAGAAACTCCTCAAAGTCGCACGACACGGCCACGGCTATGTGAACCCAACAACAATCCCACATCCAGAATCCGACGACCCAAATGAGACCATCACAGTCTCCCTCCCCTACACCTCTGTCGACGACCCCACACAAGCCGTACCTATAGAAGGCCAACGCCAATGCCGCGACTTCCTCACTGCCATCCACCCTTCCATTGCCGTTCCTTCGCGCCCTTTTACCAAATCGAAAATCTGCTGGTACACGGATACGCGCAATGGCGATTTCCTTATTTCCTACCACCCCAAATACAAGGGTCTGTTCGTTGCCACAGGAGGCTCAGGTCACGGCTTCAAATTCCTGCCCGTGATTGGAGACAGCATTGTCGAGTGTATCGAGGGAAGAACGCCAGAGGACTTTAAAGGAAAGTGGGATTGGCCTGCGGAACGGGTGCCGGAGAACCAGTGGCCCGGTGATGGAAGTAGGGGTGGGCCGGTGGGCATGGTGTTGGCGGAAGAGATGGAGAAGAGTAGAGGGAATCTGTAGGGGCGGATAGATGGGAAATGTAAAAGGGAGGGCAATTTAATTCAAATGGCATGTGTCGTGCTGCATAAAAGCCTCTCTCTCTCGTCCATCTTTTCTCTTTCCTTCAATCCATTCTTCTCATCGTTCTGCACCGAATATTCCAACCCAAAATGCCGAGAACCCTGCGTCAAGTGCTGAAATGAGCAAATTTACATGGAATTCGAAAACCAACACGATAGATATATGTGCTCGTTGTCCTTGAATGCCAGCATATAGTACATCTTGAAATGCGAAATTGTATACATGATGAAACGAGAAGACATGTATAACATTTCGTATGATTCCCGCCCTGCAGCGACGGGGATAAGGTCTCATAGCGTGTATTCTTGGGAATTTAGTTTGAATTTGCATTTGACGATGACATGTATCGATGTTCTGATACGACTGTTCAAATAACTGTTTTTCGGATCCATGGCTTGGGAAAACATGGGTGGCATGGGTATAAATTTTACACTTCTTCATCATCAGCTACAATTCATTACCCACCGGTGTATTCTTCCTTCCTTCCTTCCTTCCTTCACCACGCTTCCCTGAAGCATTTCGATAACAAAAAAGCACATCCAACCTTGCCCGATGCTGAAACAAAAAGAATTGCTATGCGGTGGAATGACCTTTTGCCCAAAGACCAAAGGATATATGCCAATGGCCTCGCAGGTTGGAAGCGACGCATTCATCCCACATGAAGTATGTGCAGCAAACGGTTGCAGGCCATAAAGATTTGTTTCCGCTTAGTAGAGACTGCAGTCGCAATTTAACCACACAAAATCACAGTATTCAAACATGTCTGAATGTCTTTCAGGCGATCGATAAACGTGCGTCAAGATTGTGCATGACTCCAGAACCATCAATAACCCAATTCATTTGCTATCTTCTAACAGTTATGAGGACGCAGCCTATTTCTTCCGCCTGTGCGTGTGGAGAGCATGCGCAAAGATGGGATGTAGTTAAAATCTACTCCACCATCGTTCTTGCTTCCTTTCATGTACAGTTCTCGGAAGTGGTGTGCTCAGAGAAAATGAAAATGCAGAGCTGAATGTGAGCCTGTGTCTTGAAAGTGAGTTTATAACACTATAGTACCTGAACATGTGTGAGGGGATTTGGTGGTTACAAAGCATGCTTGATTGAAAAGGGGGTTTGGCTTTTTATGTGTAAGATCTGTGTGTGAGGAGCAGCAAGTGCAGTTTGAGAAATCATTTGGGGAGCCTTGAACGCGGATAGATGGGTTTTCATGTATCTTGTATGTGTGCTTCTCCTTTCTAAAGTTAAGTGAAGAGGCCGTTAAATACTGATAGAACAAAGTAGATGCAGATTTAGAGACAAGTCAACGTGCCTTTAACCCCCCACGTGGCTGGACCCTGCATCGTTCGATCATAGTTGCCCCACCGAGGGGTAGCTTCCAATGTTTGGCCAGCTCCCCTCGAATGTTATCATTGACAACACAGCAACCGGAGTGGAACGCACCAATTGT